CTCTTTAATTCCAAGAGACATCTCTTCACTCAAGAGACTCCAAATCCTGGTATTATGAGTCATACCTAACAATTCTCCACCTTGGCGAATATCCAGCCCTTTAGGAGAAAATCTCCACCTTGCTAATATTCAATCCCTTAGGAGAAAAATATCATGGAGTTTCTTATGCACAAATGTGGGTTGAAGCACTTTTCTTGTTTGCGCCAGCACCTCGGCAAAACTGTTGTCCCGTGAGCGAAACCCTTCGCGAAATACCTTCCTGAAACCACTTCTCCGCTGGTCGAACACCGCCAAAATCCTCTGTTTGCAAACGCTCCTGTTCGCGGTAACTGCACACGAGCTCCTGTTCGCGAACTCCACCTCGCCTAATGCCGCGAAAGTTCATGAACTGTCGTTCTGTCGCGCCTCAAAATCGCGACGCCGCCTCTACCGCGAACTCCTCGAAGCATAACTCGTCAAACTGTCGTAGCCCTTTATCTGAACTACTTCGCACCTGTTCGTTCCCACGAGCCCGTCCGCCTTCCGAATAATCCACAAAATTTGTGTGTTGATCATGTTCGCCACTAAACTCCTCTCCTCTGTGAAACTATTGCTTGAAACCTTTCTTTTTTTTTAAGGAAAATATTTTTCCTTAATTAAGGAATTTTACTTAATTAAAGCCTTAATTAAATGCTTTTAATATATATATTTTTTATATGTGTCCCTCAAATAAATGCATTTTATATATATTATATATATATATATATATGTAATAACTTTCCTTTCCAAAGTAGCAGCAGACCCTTTTTGAGAAAGGGAAGATTCCTTGATTCCTGAGCCGAAATTTCCGTTGGCTGCGAAGCTCCACCCAACGAAATTTCCGCGATCCTTTGGCTCCGCTTCTGCCCCGCCGAAAGCTTCTGCCTGTCGCCCCGCTCCTTTCCTTATCTGCCCGTTTCACGCGAATCGTCTGTGCAGCCGCCTGAGAAGGATGCCGAGCTCCTGCACCGCCGAACTTAAGAAGCTGCGCCGTAGAGACGCAAGAAGCTGCCGATCTTCTTCTCCGACCGAAGCTTCCTCGCGCACGAAATTTCTTCCTTGCCCTCTAACCTGGCTTTGATACCACTTGTTGAGAAAAATAGGGACGAAGAAAAACAGTAATCGACACAAATCCAGAAGAACACAGAGATTTAACGAGGTTCGGCAAAGATGCCTACGTCCTCGGGAGCAGAGCGGCGACCTCCTTGTCAATATTCAGAAAAGATTACATAATATAATATTCAGCTCTCTCAAAGACCTAGGATTACAAATATGTTTAATTATAATTCTAGAGTAAGCCCTGCAGTACAATATGTAATTCTCAAATTACCCCTGTACCGTATAGCCCCAACCCATATAACGTAACTTCCCAATTTGGACAGATTCTTTCGCTCCGCTTCGTTCCAGCGTCTGTCCCTATATGGTATATGAGTCATACCATAACAAATCTCCACCTTGGCGAATACCCAGCCCCTTAGGAGAAAAGATACCTGGGAGTTACACATGCACCAATGTGGGTTAGGCCACCATGCTTCTGCTGCGCCCACGCTGACCTCAACCCACTAAATTCCAAGAGACACACCTCTTCAATTCCAAAATAAATCTCTTCATTCCGAGAGATTCCAAATTCTAGTATTATGAGTCATACCTAACAATTCTATCGATAGCTATATATTACCAGCCTGCTGAAATTGATATTTCCTTAAATCCATAATTGGTGGATCCTGAATGTATGCCAATTGGTTGCTAATCTTCCCTGATCCTCGTAAAGTTATGCATGCATCACTCAAATTGGAGGTTAGGAAATCTAACTACTGAATATTCGTATGATTGATAACTAAACCAGCAAGGTTTACGTATAATATCAAGCAACTCTTACACATTTATGGGTCTGTTGATAAATTCATCTATATATAACTGATTGGTATGTATTTTTTTTAAGTTATAGTTGTTAGAAACGTAAATACATGGAAATTGAGTGATATGCATGCAAATTTCATCTCATTTAAAGTGTTGCTGATACTTTTTGTTGGATCGACACTTGCTGGATTCAAATCACTTGTTGAATTCAGTTAGAATGACCTTGATGATTATTATATTTCAGATTTTAATATGGACATTTACATGCTTACTACTTGAAGAATGGTTATGATCCTGTATTAAGTCAGAAAATGTTAACCCACTGCTGTAGTTTTTTCATGCTTACCTTGATTCGAGATGTCTACTTACATACCACCTAATTCATATGTATTTACATACTTAGCATCTGAGGTTTACCTTTTACATTCAAAGAACCCTAAACCTTATATGTTACATTAGAAGTACGAGATTTTCAGCTTCAGAAAGTGAAATACACCTCTTTTATACATAGGTAGGGTTGTATGTATAAAAAATATATCGAAAAAAAAAGATTAAAGTTAGGTGTGAAATATGTAAATATATAGGAATTAAGCGGTGTGTATGTAAATCTGCCCTTATTTGGTTTCCTTTGAGTTCCCAGTATCAATGTGTTGCTGTGTTCTTCACATCAAAACATAGCAGGTATTTAATTTGAGGAAAAGGTAGCTACTGAATCTTGTATTCTTGTTAATTTAGCATCTAAATATATGTGTGCATTTGTTTAAATGCAAATTTGTAGCAATACTCTATTTAATTAACACTAGAATTAGAAAAGGAATTGTTGTCTAGATAATTTGATTCAGTTCTCTTCCAGTTTTGCCTATATACACATGCACTTTCTTCCTAAACAAAATTGATTGATCTGCAGTTCTAAATCTGAAATAGAACCATTAGAGAATCTTATGCAATCTTTATGAATTTGTATATCTAAGAGTTATTGGGAAAGAGAAATTTTTATCATCCTTTTACACATGCACACTGCAAAATTTCACATGCACAGCCAATCCCTCGTGATGCTCTATGCTCACACTTACATGTGTCTGCAAGTGCTTGCTCCATCCTTGTAGTGCGTCTCTACTCTCACCCTTATGTTCATTCTCATTGTCATTGTGCCTGTATGCATTCCACTATGCCCACACATTACTTCTCTTTCATGCTCGTACCCATACCAACACACGTACTTTTGAGCTTACACAAATCTCTATGTCTATGCTTGCGCCTGCCTGCACTTGTGCATGCCCAACCGCACTAATGCATGTCTCTACACCTGCACTTATGCTTGCTTGCGCATGACACTATGACCATGTGTGCATGTTGCGCTCTCATTAAGACCCACATGCTTGCTTGCACACTCCACTACATTCATAGCTACACAGAATTATGAACTAGTGTGCGCATAATTCTTCTTATCATGCTCCTTTTCCAGGTGGATTCAGAATGCAGAGAACCCAAAAAAATTTTTTCGTGTTTCCTTGATATTGAAGCCCTCTATGAATTTCTCGTCGCTTGCCAAAGGGACTCTTGGAATACGCCGACTGTGGGATGCACTTTCAAATAATTAAGATAACAAAAGTGCTAACAATGCCTTTTTTTTATAGAGGGTCATGGAAATATAAATTCAGGAAATTCAATTATTAAAGTACCGAATAAGAAAATAAATGAATTTACTTTTTGCATTAAATTTTCTTATTTTTATCACAATATGACTTTCAAGAAGAAAAAGAATCGAAGAAGTAAATTTGTTTATTAGAAATGCGTCAACACAAATTTCAAGAAAATTCAACAAACTACGAAAACAAAAGTACTATCAAGGATGATCCACTGAAAAGAGACTAGGAACCACACTAGCAAATGACAAAAGGGTTTATTTGACAGGCTACAATTCTCTTGGAGCAAGACTCGGAGCCTATCGAACGAAGGTCACCCAAGTCGAAGAAAGAGACTAGCTGAACTGAGAGAAGGAACCAGCCCAATTCTCGTCCAAATATCACCAATCACCTCACAGGAGTCTTCAAGAATCTTCTGGAGAGCTAAGGTTCTAGTCACTAAGCACCCTTGAACATTCCAGATGGATCTCCTGTTAAAGGGGTACACTAACTGTTGAATTGTTGTGATTCGCCCTTGGTCCGTCAGCTTAGTTTTATCACAAAAAAATTAGTTTCCCGTCTAGGGTTCCATAGTTGACTGCCAAACTGAAACAACCAATAGGTTGACTCAAATCGATCGAGTGATGCCCGAACAACCGAATGACGTACACTCAAAGCCGACCAACTACTCCGACTGAATAGAATCGGCCAAACGGACTTTGGCAACCCGAAGAATACATATCTCAGCCGACAAAGTGATAATGTAGCCGGGTCATAGCCTCATTTATATTTTATACCTAACAACTCCCATAAAAACACAAGCAATCATGTAATTTTTTTACTTTGTATCTCCCTTGCCTATAAATAGGGAGGTCATATCTACCCTAAAAAGTTAATTAATCACTCTTCAAAAAGCCAGTTCTCCACTATGCACCTTATCTCTTCCTGTCTCTTATTTTATGTTATATTCATTGAATGTGATTCATATGATAGATCTAGAATATTCAACAATACGTGACTAAGATTTTTTCTAAAACCAAATATATAATATATTATATTCATATTCTTCATATTTGCTATTATATATAAGACATGAAAATTATTCAGACTATATATATGTAAGAACTACTTAAATTACAGAATCCATCTTTTCAATGACATATATTAGGACATTTGTCAGGCCACTTAGAAAGCCACTCTCACTCTTTCTCTTGTACATAAAAATCATTTTTCTATATCTCTAATCAAGCAATTTATTCAATTACATAATGCTTAAACCATGGTACTTTGGGTAGTGCCATATCTAAAAAGCTAATCTTAAAAAACACTCAAATTATATGATAGACTTATATCTTACTATTCTTGAAGAGAAGGCTAAGCATCATAGGTTTTAATCAAATTTATTCAATTACATAATGCTTAAACTTACAAGTGAAGAACGCATATGCTATTAAAATATTACATTTTATATAGAAATATATATAGAATAAAGCCCCAATTCCAATTTTATTTTTTCCCAACACCGAATCATTAAAACACACCCTTAGCTTCACAAGAATAAGGGAGACAAATAAAAATAAGAGAAGAAAATGAAGCCACTTTTACAGGATAGAGCAGTTTAATTCAGGATAACAGACATCATCAGCATAGTAGTGTGGTGCACCATGATAACAGGGTGGTTGAATCAAAACAATTGGTTGATTATTTATGCTCTTGGCTTCTGCCTCCTTTTTCTCCTCCTTTTTCTCCTCTACATCTGTTACCATCGTCAGGTCTACACGCCCCATTTTTTTTCTCAGTAACTTCGCCAAAGCCACTGGATCAATCCCTTCCCCCACCACTGTTATGTTGTCCCCATCATGCGAGGCTGACACAACACCTGCTTGCCAAAATCAATTCAACCTCAAATTAATCTACAAATGGCCTTTTCCTCGGGCTATTTAAACTATTACACCAAAGTTTTAATGATATATATATATATATATATCCATCGGGTACTTTGAGTTGTTGGTCGGGCATCTGCTTGTCAGTTGTAGGTCCCCTCTGGTCAGAGGTTCATTTCCCCCCCCAAATATAGGGTGTGGTACTCGAATTCTTAGACGTATGAGGAATAACCGGGGTTCATAATAGCCTCTCGCCATTATATATATATATATATATATGTATATAATGGCGAGAGGCTATTATGAACCCCGGTTATTCCTCATACGTATAAAGGAATGACTGGAGGCTACAATACAAGCCCCGATCATTTCTCTTGCGCATATACTTTGAGGACCACACACTACACTCGGGAGAATCGAATCCTATACAAGCACATGCCCGGCCCCCAAAAAAAAATTTAAGGAACAGAAACAAAAAGGAAAACAGAATTCATTGAAGTTGAAGGTCTCAAAAGTGAGAAGAATGGAATTAGTTTGAGACTTGCCATGCAGTCCGACGGCACACCGCATCGCTTTGGCGCGCTTCTCAGCATCTTCCATGGATACCTTCAGCACTACCTTCTTCTGCAGATTAAGAAGATGATGACGTTATCTGCTTAACAAAATGCTAGAATTTGAATATTACAGTTTTCAAAATTAGTAACAGTGCGCAGTACTGACCTTTGCCATGGATGATGATCGATGCTGTGTTCCTATTGGCTTTGTTGCTCGCTGAGAAAGCTAGCTTGTAGTTGCACGCAAGCGTTCCTCGGTATAAATAAGAAGGCGAAGAGTTACCTGACGACTAAAACGGCGACCACGTAGTTTGGTCAGTCCGAAGACTTACAATTTCCAAGTAAACGGACACCGGTTCCGAAAATTTCAGGACAGTATATGATGATATGTTCGCAGGGGGAGATGAATGCTGTGACGTTACGTGGGCCCGAATGAGCAAAAAAAAAAAAAAATCAGCAACTTGATTAAAATTGAGTTTTATTTCGGTCGAACAGCCGACCACCCATAGACAATCGACCGAACATCCTCCAGAGGGGTCCTCTAGAAGCTAGACGACCGAAGGTCAGCTAGAGGACCGAAGAACTGCCAGACCACTTAATTAAAAAGAAAATTATTTCAATTATTTATTAGAAGACCTATGAACTTATATAAACTTCTTGTGCTTCTCAATCAACTGGGAAAACTCATATAAACTTCTTGTGCTTTTTGTGAGCATACCAATGTTGTAATTGCATTATTGTCGGGCTTGTCGAGGAGCTAATTGTTTCTTCTATTTAGTAACCTTTACAATCATCATTGCAACTGGTCTATCTGATCTATTACGAGAATCATTTCACTCTGCTCCTCCTACCAAATGTCATTAATGACAAGTAAGACATCCTAGAAGTTATCAGTCACCTTTACAAAAGACATCCTTAAAGTGCATCAAGTGAATCCAAATCAAGTTTTTTTTAACTATATGAATAGTGTGTCATATATTTAAACATCTAATTTAGGTGTTAGAGATGTAAATACGTAAGAATTGAGTTAGCCTTTCAAAAAACACTTGTTATTTTTCCTGTCTTTATTTTAATATCTTAACTTTGTTTCTATGACTTCAACTTAGAAATAGTGTTTATAGTACAACTAAATCGATTAAATTCAGTTTTTGTATGGCTTGAAGTTCCATACACACTGAGAAAGAGGTGTAAGAAAGTAAAATAGAAGTGTCTTTTTTTAAAAAAATATGAAATAAAAATGGCGGCTTAAACCGTCATTTATCTTATAGCATTGGGGCGGTTTAAACCGCCTCTGTAGCTCTTGATTTTTCACAGTGAATTTTAAGGGCCCTTTTGGGGCATCTTTTAAGTTCAGTGACGTTTTTGAAAACGCCACGGTATTGTTTAGATCGCACATTTTGTCCGCTTATCCGAAAACGTGGTTGAATTTTTAGACTAAATGTTGGTCGCGGGTCGAACCCTATAGTCGACCCGCAGGCCGTGTTTCAGGATAAGTTGTTTATCCTGAAACGCACAAACTGCACCAAACGCACCCTAAACCTCAATAAAATTCTTATAACGTAAAGCATAACAATAGAATGTTCAATGGATTTAAACCACTACTACAATTTTTATGATAGTTTAAATCGATGTCATAAGGTTATACAACGCAAAAAATATTCTTTATTGTAGTATGTAAAATTTTGTTCTGATTTTGTATTTCTGTATCATGAGCTTTTAGCATAATAATTACAAATTTCATATAACTTATTTGTCTTAAAAAATTTTAGATAATTTTTTAAGTAAAATTAATATTTTCTTTGATAAGAACTAATTTTCTAATTTTCTCTTATTAAAAATACTTTTTTTCTTCACTTGTTCATTAATTTATTACCATCATAAAGTTATTACTAAGTAAATTTCACTGGCTTTTGGGAATGTGATAATACATTTCACAGCTAAAATATCAAATTTCATATTAGATATTCAGTTTATTCCAATAGCTTAATTGTAACATGTACTTATTTGAGTTTATCAGTTTAAAAATTTTGCTTGGGGAAATATTGGTTTGATTGATATGTGTATAAAATTTCAAAATATAATTTTTTGTTAAATAAGAAAATATTTCTAATATTATTTTTGATGCGTGCTAGAAGATTTGTGACGATAGAGTAATAAATTATTGTCGTAGCGTTGCGCGAAAGTTCAACACACACTTTGATAAGAGAAATCAACAAGTTGAGACATCATGAGTTTTTGCATGGAAAACCCAGAAAGAGAAAAAAACAAGGTGGTCAAGCCCAATTATAAAAATTCACTATAAGTTGATGATTAGAGAGAATCATGTTTTCACAGGTGGGAAAGAGGT